GGGCTTGTAACTTTAAGGTTTCTATTAATGTGTTTTTTCTGTGTGTGTGTTGTGTTGCTAGTTTTGTTTTCTTTTCTCTCTCTCCCTTTAAAAAAAGAAAAAAATTACTCTTCCTTTTTCATAGAGACAATTCAATATTTTATGAAAAGAATGCTGCTTCAGAACTCCATTCCACCATCTTCATTTTCACAGTGTTTTCTCTTCTGTTGTAGCATTTGGAAGAAAATAAAGACAGCTACTATAAAGCCACTATAATAGCTTTAAGTGTTTAATTCTCTAAACTAGGACACATCAGAAGCATATCCCCATCATTCTACTGCACCACAAGAATACTAAGATTTTCTTCATTTTTTTCCTACTTTTTCACTTCCCATGACTTCACGTTAAAATGAAAACTGTTGTTAATCCCAGACAAGACAACGAAATAATTTTAACTAGGAAAATCAAGCCTTTCAGAAAAAGAAACAAAGTTACAGAAGGGAAGACAAAGGAACCCTGAGAAGTCCTGTACTTTCTGTCCCAGTATTGACATCAGCTGTGGAGGTAATGTTAGATCTCCATCAAGCACTCACTGAGGTAGGACTCATTCTGTCTCTTGTAATTAGAAGCATTTGAAATACATTTTTTTTTTCCTTTTATAATAACAATTATAATCCATTACCTTTATTTTTCCAAAGTTATTGCTCTGAAGAAATAAGTGAAGGCATTAGCCTATTTTCTGTGGAAGAAGAAAGCCTTGGTAAACAGGATGGAAGGAATCTGTCTTTGAAAATACTTAATCTCTATGAATGTTTAAAATTGCATGTAGGAGTTCATCGCAAATGGAGGCAACGGAATCTTTCTCACGAAAGATAATGAGGCTTAGTCACCAACATGGCAAAATGCATCTTAGACATCTGCACATATTCTTGGCTGAATCCTGTGCTGTAAGTTAGTAGTGACATGGTCTGTTACTGCCCCTAGAGCCCCTCTTGACGTAGGCATAAAATCTAGCCTTGATTTTGGGCACTGTACGGTGAGAGCAGCTTGCCATAACTCCCAAGTTCACTGTCATTACAATTTTATCTGATATCATCTATTAGCTAAAATGTCATCTTCAGGTCGGGAGAAAAGAGGGAAATATTGATCTGACTTCCAAAATTGATCCTAGCCTTTTGATAACTTCTGTTAACTGAGCCAAATGAGGCATTCTGGGCTTTTTCCATGGTTAATAGGGAGAGAGAGATTCCCCCAGAGGGAAATTCAAAGTAAGAGTCCAATTTAGTCACTAAACTGCTGGACAAGGAACACATCTCCCCTCCCTGAGATTGTTGAAGGGATCACAGGAGGTTAACCTCACTGGGATAAAGTTGTCTTTTGTGAATATCTCATCACACGGCATCACTGAGATGCAATCTCACTATTTGTGACATACAAAACATCAAAGCCACATAAAGCTCAACACACCATCATCTTTGGTTCCTTTCTCTGACTGCATTTGTGTAACAACAGGCATGTACATTAACATGCTGTGTCTGTGTTTTATGAATGTCCCAAATCTGGGTTTAACAATATTTTCTCAGGCACTGAGAAAGTCTGGGAATTTCAACTTGGCACACGTTTGGAGCCAAAAATATAGAGCAGCAAATGGGCATATGAAAGACCTGGCCAAAATTCATTGTCGTTATCCGAAATGTCATTCTGAATGTTCTCAGAGACTTTCAGGCTCCTGATAGACTTGATCATGCCAGTATATCTGAACCTAATGTGCTGGACCTGTCAGAAGCAAGTCCCAGTCAGCATATTAATTCATAAGCTTTATAAATATGATTATTTAAAAGACTTTTGTCTTTGTGTTATGGATTTTTGTAATCTAAACTTAGAACTAACATCTACAGCAGTATCAGTCCTAGCCTGTGTTCCATTACAAACACCTGTGAGTAAGCATAGGAATGCCAATAACTACTAGTGTTACTGGAGAGATATTATAATTACCATCATGTTTACTAACTGGGAAGCAGCACGTTATTTCTCAGTGCTCTATCAAAGTCTCTTTCATTGTCCTATAAGGTAATACAATGATATCCAGAGTGTGACAGCATGCTAACATTTTGTTTACTCAAATCCTACGTTGCACTAACTGGCCTCCTATCCACAATAATTTTTTCAAAGTTTTCCTTTTTCCATCACACAAAATAGAGGTAATGGTCACATGATAATAGATATCTAATTCAGCTTGCTAAACCGTATCTACCATGACTTACTATGAACTGCCATATAGTGATCAATCATTTCTGGATGTTTCCTGTTTTGCAGGTAACTGTTCTCTCACTTTAGAAACTGAAATGCCTTTTTTTCCCCCCTTTTTTCAGTTGTGTTTACATCAGGGTCAGCTGTGGAATGAAACTTATGTGGTGGTTTAAGATTTCATGATGAAATTGAAATGACTTGAATGATTTGACAGTTTGTCTTAAGACATCTCAGATAGACTTGGGCAATTTCTTCATTATGATCAGACCCAGTTGCTAGCTAAAGTACAGTATGAAGAACAGCTCAATTCACAGTTTTGTTTGGCTTTAGGCTTAAATCCAGTGCACAGTGAGGAAGGGCTGAAGTCTCCACTCCAGAGATTCACTCACTTCTTTTTTTTTACCTGAAGAATATTGGAGTATAGTAATATTTAACAAAACCACTGAAAATGCTCCTTTCTTTCTACATGAGATCCCATTCTAAGTAATAAGTTATCTCATCATTATTGTGGTATTGCATTGTTAAAATATTCAGTTCAAATATGAATGGCATTGCAATAAGTCCTCTACAAGGAATGCGTGATAAACACGTCAGTTGAATGCACCTGAATACAGAAAAAAAAGGGAAAGGGGGGAAGTAAAATGTTTAAGTCCAGTTCTAATATAGTTCTATATATTCCTTATGGAATCAGACTCTGTTGAGCAAAGAGCAATTTAAATCTTTTTGATTCAATGTGTAAATTAGACTTCATTTCAAAATAAATTGTGTCTAACTTTTTCTTTTACTCAAACAAAAGCGATATGATTTCTTTTCTTCTTAAATAATAGATAAAACATGACTTTTTCCACAATATATTTCATTTTTCAATTTATAAAGAGATGCACTGGATGAAAAATTCCACAGACTCTTGCAGTGATGATATTCTTGTGCCATGCATGACCAGCAATCTAAAAAGAATGAAAGCATAAGAAGTTTTTTGTTTTCTTTCCAGAATCTGTTTATTTTTTCAGACTGAACTTTTATTCATAAAATCTGTCAGACAAAAGAAAGATCTCTGTATGAGGTTTTTAGATGTAAAGGTTCTTGACAAATTTTATTCTTATATTTTAGCTAATACAAAGATTCATTATAAGGTAGGGGAAAATAAATGCCTAGCTGAAAACTTGAGCTCAAAGTATGTTATTAAATGCATTGCAGGTGAACTTTTCCTGCCTAAGTAAAAACAAAGAAACAAACAAAACCAACATTTTCTGGTCGGCATTTCAGATCCCTGGAATAGATCAATGAACAGTACTTGGGTACTTGGGCTTGGTGCTGAAGCTTAAGAGCTAAAAAAATGCCTCTTGACTGGCATATCTTCATCTACTTGCATTATGGTTGTGAAAAAGAGAGAAAATTCATGGAGAAATGGGCCCTGTGGTCTCAGTGTGGATCTTATGTTTCACTTTTGCTCAGTGTTAAGTCTCATTGTTTGAAATATACATGTCTAAATTTTCTTTCTATTGTGGCATGGTTTTGAAAGTGTGCATAAACAGTGGAACAGACTGCATTTCACCCAGAATTCACTTACAGTAGCTACTTTGAATGGGATTTATATAGCAGTGATAACTTAACCTTACAGTGCCCTTCATCTTCCATGTGATGGCTACTGAACATTGGTGAGCAAAACAATGTCTTACGTGGTGATTTTTATTTGGAGCTGTATTTATGAAAAAGGAATTGTTCTTTGACTTTAATTCTTTCATTTCAGTCTCCTGTTTCTGTACCTTTTCCTTGGGAGAATGACATATTTCAAATTCATCTCTTTTGTCTTTCTGCAACTTGAATTACCTGATATGGTAATCGATTTCTGTTTTCTCTAGTTCTTCTCTGCACAGTTCCAAAATCCATTCAAGCTCCCCCCTTCCAGTTATCAAGAATCTCGTAAGAGGAGGTGTCACAGAAATTTTAGACATGTTTGAAATAGTCAAAGTTGATTAAAACATTTTGTGAAACTTGGAAAATCTGATAAGGTTCTGAGTTTGTAACAGTCCAGGTTCTGGTTCACTTTCCCCAGTGTATTACATTCAGGAGCTTCCACGTAGAATAGCAATATTTTGAGCAATGTAAGAAACTCCTACAGTTGTTCCTGGCATTTTTCATTCAGTTTGGTTACCTATCTGCAGTCTACAAAGAAAAACTTCTTGCAGTGCATTAGATGTAAGCACCAGTCCAGCAGCTCAGCGCCTCTCCTGCTGGCTGAGGAAAGACTGCTGCTGCCTGTTGTCCCTGTGATTGGTTGTGCCTCAACAAGCTGCTGCACATGGACTGCAGTCACAGCTTAAATCCAACTCCTGTGCTCAGTCACCATACATGAACTTCATCTAGACAACTAAGCTGCTCCAAGCACAGGCACCAGGCAAGAGCTAAAATGTGTTTCATCTTCTAATAAACTGTTCACAATATTTGTCACTTAGAAAAGGAAAATTGTTCAAATTCTCCATTTGTTCATTTAGCCAGCAATGAGCTGAAAGGTGGATGGAACTTCTAGACTATGTGTGTCACTGGAAAAATGATCAAACTAAATTGTGGCAGTTAACTATGGCTTACTGAAATCTTCTATAGAGGTGACAAAGTTAAGCTAATCTATGCAGTTTTCAACTGTTAAAGAAAGGACAGACTGTTTCCCTCAAATTTGCTGCAAAAATGGTTGCTCAAGCACTGCTAATTAAATGTGATTCTGAGGGAAAAGACTTTTGTCCATGGTGCATCTCTGTTGTTCCCTTCTTTTAAAGAAGCATTATCTTAATTTACCCTTCAGTCTTTTTTTCACCCTTAATCTTGAAGCAAATAAATGCCCTTTGCTGATGTTTTCCATTTTCCTGAAACTCAGTTTTGCTCTTCTTGCATTTAAAACCAAGAACAACAACAACAAATACTAAACAGACTTCTCCAAAAAGTCTAGCCCACCACAGTTGCTAACAATAGTATTGATAGATACCCGGTAGCAGTTTTGGCTAAAACAAGCCTGTAAACCATATAATCAGTGTGTTTTATGGATTGCATTTATCACTGACATTTTCCCCTTCCTTCAGTTGCAGGGTCCTGTCCCCTTCAGCTGCCTTCTGGACATCGCTGCCTCTCTGGTAGAACAGCAGAACAGATGTTAACTACTGCTGCTGCTCTCTGTAAATAGCTCACTTTCTGTAGTGGCTCATCCACCTTCTGGCTGACCAGAAAAGCAATCTGATAACGGTTATAATGCCATCCTCAAAGCCATCCTTCAAATGTGTGGAGTGGGAGAAGTGAAGGGTATGCAACAGACAGGTGGTGTGGAGACCCTGGATGCAGCTGCTGCAGCAAGTATCCCACAGGCAAGGACCAGAGGTTGCCTGTCATTGGGATGTGGGGGTCTTCCTCCATCCCAAGCATATAGAATTACATGTCACAGGACTTGCACTGTGATTGCTTGGTAACAGTAGATCAGAAAATATTGTGTGTCTTTCACATTGAAGTGAAAACATGTGAGTCCTGTCACAAAGCATTCTGACCACATGCCAGCATCATAGAAGCCTCATTCTGGTGCCTGTCATTGCTGCATCATCTGGGCATTTTCATTCATTCTAAGCATTTGTTATTTTAATCTTAAAATGCCCCTCTGCAATTCAGTTGAGATATTTCTGTTTTCAATAATACGTTTTCCATAATGCTTTCCTTCCTCCTTCAGACCTCTCTGAAATCAAGCACTGCAGTCCACTGACATGTTGACAGTTTTACGTGAATTAATGAAAAAGGAGTTGGAAGTGACTGACAAAGATTTGTTTATTATTATTAAACTGACTGTGAATCTCAGTTGCTCTACTGAAAAGAAAATTAAGAAAAGGAGGAATTGAAAAAAAGTATCAATCCACAATGTATGATTAAGAATATATTCTATTCTTCAATTTATAATGAATAATTTTAAGAATTAAGGCTGCTGCCTGGAGGCAGAAATCCTTGTTCTGAATTGTACTCATAACTGCTTAATGGTATGGCTAATATGCTGAGAGGAAGTGAAAATGGATATTTCAACACTGAGAAAAATACTAGCTCAAAGTTGGGCCTTTAATGGAAAAAGGAAAATATGAATCATCTTGGTAACAAACAAGAAGATACAAGATGAAAAGGTACTTGCTGGATAATTTCTTATCTACTTTTATTCAGGTAAAAAGCTGAAATACAGAAGTCTAAGAATCACATTAGTGACACCTCATCTTTTTGGAGCAACGCTCTGTGGAATGTGTTAGCTTCTTACCGTATTCCATCAGGCTTATGCTCTCATCATCTGCACACACTCCTGTTTCACACCCATGTTTCCTTTAACACTTCAGCCTTCCCCATCCCCTCAGTGTTTGGCTTTGCCTGATCTGTAGTAACAGCGAAGCCTGGTACTCACCAGGACTGGACTCATGGTGCAGGCCAGCTCAAACAAGGCTGCTTCCTCTTTCTGTTTTCCTGCCCAGAGAGGCCAGCCAACCAAAGATGAAATTCCTCCATTCCTGGAACATCTGGCTGAGCCTCTCAATGCTCATAATTATCCTCCCACTCCCAGCTCTCTGCAGGTGCAGGGAAGTGTAGTGAAGGTTCTGTGGGAGCACAGCTTTACAGTGGGTAAGTTCACCTATAAATCTCAAGTAAATGCATGCCATCTGATTTAATATACATTTTTGGTTTTATAATTTTTGCTGACAGAGGATCTCACTGATAAAATGCCAGGTGGAATAATATCAGTTAAGAAACTTACGGCAAAACTTCCAAACTTTCAGTGAGTGCAGAACTGTGTATTGCCATCAAAATCTACATCTCAACATCATATGCTGCCTTATCACTAATGCCTTTACCATCTGCCTACCCTCATTCACTTCTTATCCCTTCTCTCAACACAGGCTCTCATTTCTCAGCTGCTTTTTAGTCTTCACTCACTGCTCCTCCATCAGTCAGCCACTTGCTGCACTCATCTCACACAGAAACCCCAGGAAAACCTTCCCGTGCATTCCCTAGCAGGGGATGCTCTTGTAGTCCAAATGTGAATGTTGCCAGAGCCACAATCTGTTCCTTGTTTAGCTCAGCACAGTGCACCTAAACAGATGGTGAGTAATGGCATGCAATGCCTACTTATCTTTTGTGCTTTCCTCCATATGGTTCCTGTATTAGGGCTGGAAACAAACTGAAGGAGGTAGTATGAATAGGAAATGAATTCCATTAAGCTCCACAAAGTTGCTGTTAAAAATTGCTGTGTTTTTTGTACTGATACAAGAGTGGCTGAGTCATTTCAGACCTGAGATGTGAATATGCAGCTCCCCTGATGTTCATAGGTTTGCAACTACCTGTATCACATAAAAATGTTATGGTATGGTGCATCAGCTTGCAAGCCACTTGAGCACACTCTTCAGTTTCTCATTTTCTCATTAAAATAATCTCAAAGTAAGCATAAGATCTTGCTGCATTAATATATATTTAAATGTTCTGACATGATGCAGGACTACACAGTCCTAGAAATGAATAATGTTGCTTGCTCCTTTTGGTGGTGGTGGTAGATAATATTTAAAGACATGAAACAACCTGATATTAAAAAGGAATGTGTTTAGATCATCTTAGATTTAGCTATATATTAGGGGGCTGCTTAAAAATGTCAAAATTTTAGGATTTAGAATAGCATTCTCAAAAGAAGCCTATAAAGGTTTATGAGTATAGCTGTCACTACAAGCTGTAGCATTCAGTGAAACAACTTCCTAAATACCTAAAGGCCAGAATTACTTTACAGCTATTCTTGGTGTATTAATTTCTCAGTCACTTGGTGCCAAATCCCCAAGAGAGAGCTACAACACGAGAGATGCACAACATACAGCAAGAACGTACCATCCAGCAGCAGCCCTGCAAATAGGGACAAGGGAGAAGCTCATCCACACGGGAATCAGCTAACCGTGGTGATTATGCAGAAAAATAAGTTTTGTAGCTAAGAAACTGCTTTATCAAACACTGTTACTGTGCTCTTTGTATCTGTTGCAGTTTCCGTAGAAATAAATAGGAGGCATTACTTTCAGAGCAGCCGATGTACATATCATTGGAAAATTTCGTTGCCTCAAACTTTGATGTGTTGCTAGAAGTTGTTTTCCAAATCCAGAGAAAACAAAACAAGAGTAATTCTCTCAATGACTCCACGCTGCCCTGCAACACATACAGTTCCTGAGCAGCAGATGGTTCCTAGGGGCATCTTGGTTGCATGATAAGTGCTGGTGCTATGAATTGTTGCAGTGGGTTATGAAATAATCTCAACTCCTGTTTGGGGCATCTGGCAACCCATGCTTTTCAGGGTGATATTATTTCCTTGATGATAGAACCGCATGGCTAATCCAATCTGACCTTGTAATGGACCGGTGGGATTCCTAATGAACCATCATCAGCTCCTCCTGAGAGCTTCCACTTCCCTCAGCCTACCTGCATTAGTAGCATGTGTGTGTGTAAGTGCCCTCCAGCCATATGAAGATTTCAGTGAGCAGCTCACAGAGGCAAAGAAGGTAGCATCCACAAAAAGTAGAGATACTAGGAATATAGACACTTGGCTCCCTGTCCTTGCTTTGCTGGTTGGCTTATGTATTTAAAATACATTTTTTTTTATATTTAACATCTACATTAGAAATCTTATAAAAACCAGCCACTGGAGCAGGGGCTGAAATCTAGGTGTCTCTGGCCCTCGGTGAATGTTCCTGCCATGAGGGATGCAGCTCCTCAGGTGATACAGGCAGAGGAACATGATTGTGGAGCCTGTCAGACTCAAATTAGACTTGGGGAATTCAGCTCTGCTGTCACTGAAAGACTCCTAGACGTACCCAGAAACATCAGGCACTTGGTTTAATGCTGAAAGCAGAGGACTTATTGGTAGCTGAAAAATATTTGAATGCAGACACCTTAAGATCAACAACATATTTTTAAAATCTTACTAAATACTTATTTGCACCTTTAGGTATCTAAGTAACTGCAACAGTTTGATATCAGGTCGATTTAAATACTTGTGCTTCTTGCATGTTATTTTAAGACTTTTCCCTTAACAATTTTTTTTTTCCACTCTATAAGTGGTTTCCTAATGTGACTCAGAGGGAGACTGTCATTAGAAAGTCATTAATGAGCCTGTAACTTTGATTGTGTTCATTACATGTCAAGTAAGAATTATTTCAATGAAATAAATTACTTTTTTTTTTTTTTTTTTTCCTAATCAGTAGGACAAGAATTCATGCTCAGCATCCCTTTACTCTGAGAATTTTGATCCTTTTGTTTGAAATATGTTAGCAGGAATTGTTACTTTCAGCCTATAATTCTGTTTCTCAGCTATTAAAACAGAAATGCATTTTGTTTGTCTTACCAGGAAAAGGCACTTTGAAAATATCTGTCCTATTTCCTAGGCTGCCTCACTAAGGGGTTGCGTGCACACTTATAAATTACAAAAACAGAAGAAAAAAGAAGAAAACATAGAACTCTAGTGTACATAAATGATTATTTAAAAAGAATCATTTTCTGCTAGCATTTTTGGCAGCATGCACTCTGAGACACGCGATAGTATGGAACTAGCCCAAAGACACTGTTGCATGTTAGTAAATACCACATGAGTTTTCAGGGTCATCACCCAGGACTGTCACAAAACAGGTTATGTCAGAGGCAAGCAGAGCATCAGCTTTGAAATTCCTGTTTGATTAACTGGTGACCTTCTTGAGCCTTCTGCAGAATATTTTTAAGCATTAGAAAGAAAATAGATGATGAGAAAATCCAAGAAAATACTCTGTCTTTATAGGTGCAGTAGCTGGATCCTACAGTGAAATGAAAACCTATGGGAAGTAGGGCCCCATCCTGCAAATATTCCTATATTCACTGAATTTTGTTTCTTCCAACCCCCAGGGGACAGGGACAGCACTCCAGCCCCTTCACACTGAGGCAGAGCTTTTCTGATGGACTCGAGTCTGCATTTGCATGCCTCACTTTCTCATAGTTCAGCTTTGTTTCATGACTTGTTTGTACAACAAAGGTAAGCATAACATAGGCCTTGCTCTAGAGAAGGGTGTTTCTATAGTACTGCTTATATATGTATGAATGAGCGGAGTATATTAATTTTCTGTAGACTAGCTTCATGTTCAGTATTGCAGTAAAAACTTATGTAGAATGTGAACTCTCAGATGTGATAAAATAGTATCACCCTTTGAAGACTAGTTTCACTTCATGGGAAACATTGAACACGCTGTATTTTTAAAAGCTGTTAAATTATGTGTCAGTTGTACACATCCTTTGACTATCCTGCAGCTAAAACTAGATGGAAGGTTGCACTTAAAATAAGGAAAAATAATATTTCACCGTCAGCCTTGTAAGCAGCTCCATGGTGTCAGGACGCACTACCTTCACCTGGAATCCACCTGAGCACAGTAATCCATATATCATGGAATCATAGAACAGTTTGGGTTGTTAGAGACTTTTAGTGTCACCTGGTTCCAATCCCCTGCTATAGGCAGGGACACCTCCCTCTAGACCAGGTTGCTCAAAGCCCCATCCAGCCTGGCCTTCCAGGGAAGGGGCATTCACAGCCTCTCTGGACAACTTGCTCCAGTGTATCACCACATTCACAGTAAAGAATATCATCCCAATATCTAGTCTAAATCTAACTTCTTCCAATTTAAAACTATTTCCCTTCATCCTGTCACTACACGCCCTTATAAAAAGTCCCTCCCCAGTGCATATATGTGTATTGATAAAAGATATACCCACAAAAAAGATGCTATTTAAAAGTTATAAAAGCAGGATTCAGCCACACCCTTTCTTTCTCAAATCAGAATATTACTCTTTTATTGTAACAAGACCACTGTGGTATGCCAATGGAAATTTTCATGAATTAATATATTTGATGAAGGTCCTCTTCATCAAATGGATCCTCAATATAGGACTTCAATTTTGTTCAATGCATACCGCAATCATCCCATTATGAATAAAAGATTCTTGAAAATGTGAAAGAAATGAAGCTAATGCAGTGTTGGTGTTGTGAGTATGCCTGCACTTAACCTCAAAATAGCATTATTTACTGCTTTCCTGCTGAAAAGTTGGATAAAAGTCGACGTAACTCATGCATCAACTACATTTCAGTGTCACTTTGACTATAAAATCACTGAGTCAGTGAGACAACTCACATAAAAAAATCTCTTGCTAGGTGGTTAGGGTTACATGACAAATCTATCATTTTCAAAACTTTAAATTGGATTTCATGTGATATTTGTTGTAAACTGCCAGTGAAGTCAGAAAAACATCTGTTTTAAAAAAAACAAACATCCTTTTATGTTCTCCAATAGACAGGCAACCACAAATGTCATGCAATCTACTGGTCTTCATGTAACCTCTCCAGAATTTAGATGACCTAGAGGTGATGTGAATCCTTTGGTAAAGTTTTAAAATGTTTTGGAAAATATTTGTAAAATTATTTGAGTTCCTAAGAGAGAAAAGTGTCACTACTGTCCAAACTGTTACTGATATTAATTGAAGTGCATTTCACAAGTAAGGGAAATTCAACTACATTTGTTAAAGTAATATTCAGAAAGAAGAGATATAAAAATGTAGATAGAACCATCCACATACGTTGTGCAAAGTCAAAAGAATGTAAGAAAAAATTAATTATAACGAAAAAAGAAGTGATAAAAATGATGAAAATGTATGAATACGAATATTGAAGTACAGACCAAGAGTGACACACACAAAGCTGGGTGAATAAGACACGGAGACAGTCTCTATTTCTCTTTCCTCACATAGTACTCTCCAAGATGATGCAGTGTGGATTTGTTTCTCTCCACAGTTCCCCCAGTAGTGTCTCCCATCACCTCAGCTTAAACACAGCACTTCTGCATGATCTGGGACTTTCCTTTTGTTGTATTTCTTTTGGGAGGACAGCCTGTGCAACCTGCTAAGGGATATGTATGTGCTTATTGTGGTTTCCCAGACCAGCTGCAGGCCACTGACTATAACCGCAAACCAGCAGTGGTATGAGATGAGACCCTAGGGAAGTGTAGACAAACCAAACAAGTGGTGGCTACCCAATCCTGGACAGACAGGAGGGGCATGTAGCTGTGGGCTAAGCAGTCCTGTTATGAAATCTTTCCTGCCTTCCTTAAGAACTGGCCAGGGAAGACATTTCCCTAATTTAGATAGAGAACTGTGTTCTGCACAGACATTTCATGAAAAAGTCCCTTGGGTAGGTTAGATAAGAGTACAACCTGCTGGACATGGTAATGAATGAAAGGCATTTCAACTTCTCCACTCATTTGATATTTAACTTGGCAAAAAAGATGGGTTGCTTTGTCAAGAAATGACAACAGAGCCCATGACTATTAAGGAAGGAGTGATGCTGAGATGGACAATTACGACTTGGGGAAGCGTTGGCTGCCCCAAACCCGCTGAGATCTCTTTGTTGTCCAGCTGGAATTGCTTTTGTTTTGTTTTGTTTTTCATCAAGTTAATGTATTTTGACTTTCTTATGTAATTGGGCATTTGCCTTTCTTCTCCTCCAGACCTTCCAGTGATAGTAACCACGAAGCTTCACGGTTTCATCTTGTTTAAAGTCTAAGGGAAACCTCTACCATTATTAAGAGAGATGGTTCTTCGGGTAGAAAATGGAAATGTTTTGCCAGGTTTGTACCATAGAATAATATTATGCAAGTGGCAGTTTCTCTGGTGGATGGTGATATTGCTCCAGCACACCTACACAATGGGATATCACTAATGCCTCCATTTGGTGGATTAATTGCTTTGATTCTTAACTCTGTGATGTCTTCTGTTAGGTTGCTGACTGTTTTTTTGTTTATTTTATGCCAGAATAGACACTTCCAAGAAAACCTTCCTGAATGTACTTTATTTATGGCAGTAAATTCTATCAGTGGTAGCTCTTCACTATCTGGGAAATACTTGCACAAAGCTGAGGAGTGTGAGACATGGATCATTGCATCTTCTGAACAGAATCATAACCAAGGGACATAATATTTATTTCTATTTACTTTTTAATATACCAGAGCTTCACCTCTGGACTCTCATTCTTTTTAATACAACAGGAAAATGACATCTAAATACATTGCTCTGATAACCTAATGATGTGAAAACATTTCTGTTTTCTTTGGGTTATTGTAAGATTTCTTTTCATTATAAGGAGCCTGACTTCACAAGTGCTGAAAAGCCCACAACCCCAGGACTTCAGTGAAGTCTTGAGCTGTTCACTTTCTTCAGGGGCACAGACAGCCTTCCCAGAAGGTCTCTTCACCAGAAAAGCAAGATAGGATTTTCTGTTGCCTGTAACTATTTGTTCAAGACATTGCTTGAGATGTTCTTACCTGTCAATAGCCACCTGGTAGAATAATATCACGAATAATGAACTACAACCAACAACTTTTGCGTTTTTTGGTCAGTACATGAGAAGTCTCCAAAACAGGAAGTGTTACTTGTCTTCTGTGGAACCCAGCTTCTGCTTGGCTCATCACCTACAGCCTTAAATGACTGCTGCCTTTTCGTTGAAGACCTTTAGAAACAGTATGTGCAAAACACCTGTAGATAGTCAGGAGATGAATAAGAGACAATTACTTCATTTAATTCAGGAAAGTCAAAAAGCATTTGCAGTCATTACTCACATGGTACAGAGCTCAATATTCAGCATCTTGGTACTGTGGACAAGTGAACTGATACAAGTTTGAGTGTGCTTTGAGGAAATCTAGAGGTTATTATTTTTAAGTAATAATAATAGTAATAATAAAAATCTCCCTGATGTGGAAATTGAGACATCAAGAAAAAAAACAATCCACATATTTGAGATCAGTAAGCCTCAGCAAATGCCTTGAGGCTGTTTGGTGCCTATCACACGAGGCTGGAAAGGTGCTGCCGATGGCAAAGTTTGCCAGCTTCAGGCAAACTCAGCTGGTGGTGGCCCTGATCCTCAGTGAAGCCCACCACTCCTCACAGTTTGCCAACATCAGGGATCCAGACAGCAAAGCTCAGCGAGATATTTCAGTCACAACAACTGGGATTGCAGCAAGGGTTTTTCTCTTGCTGGTAGGGTCCAACCACCACTATATGTGCTATTCCAAAGCTGTTCCATTAAATTAACCTAGAATGTGTCCAGCTAAAAAAAAAATAAAAAATGGTGCAAAAATAACAAAGGGGAGGTAAATTAAGATTTCAGTGAATGACAAAGGTTTGATCTATTTGAACTGCAGCTGTTGGCATGTGTTGTCATCCATTGGTGAGGCTGCACCTCCTGTACTATGTTCAGTTTTGGGCCTCTCACTACAAGAAAGACATTGAAGCCTTGGAGTGTGTCCAGAGAAGGGCAATGAAGCTGTGAAGGGTCTGCAGCACAAGCCTTTTGGGGAGCAGCTGAGGGAGCAGTGTGGAGAAGGGGAGCTCAGGGGTGACATTATTGCTTTCTACAGCTCCTGGAAAGGAGGTTGTAGTGAGGTGGTGGTCATCTACTCCTCTCAGGTAACGGTGATAAGAAGAGAGGTAATAGCTTTACGTTGTTCCAGGGGAAGTTCAGGTTAGATGTTAGGAAAAATTTCTTCTCAGAAGTAGTAAAGCCTGGGAACAGGCTGTGCAGAGAGGTGATGGAGTCACTGTCCCTGAAGGTGTTCAAGAAATGTGGTGATGCAGTGCTGAGGGCCATGGTTTTGTGGGCAGTACTGGTGGTAAGTGGACGACTGGACTTGATGATCTTGAAGGTCTTTTACAATCTTAGCAGTTCAATGATTCTATCCAGTACTGCAATACGTTTGTGCTGTTTCGATGCACCTAGACTTAAAAGGCATCTGTTGGGCACCAAATATTGGGAAGCCATTAGGAGTCACATGCTCACTGCTCTAGGGACCCTGCTTCTGCCTCTGTGAAGTTGGCCTATTGTGCAGACGGAAACCAGCCCTGTTTCTCGAGGTGTATCTGGCAAGCTGCTGATTGCTCTCTCACCCGCGCAAGCTGTGACCCTTTCCAGCTGTTCTTAATCTGGTCCCTTAACCTTTAATAAAAAAACACCCCACAAACATAACACACCAGCTTTCCATTCCTCAGAGCCAAACTTTGCTAACAACATCTAGGTTGTTTTCAAACCTGGCTTCAAACATAAAAGTGACTAATAAATCTATATCCCATAATAGGCTGGAAGGCCATTGTTTAAAAACATGCTCAGTTTTTACGACCCATTTCTAGTGAAAATCCCAACTGCACCTCTCTGATGCTCCCCTTCTGCTGCTTACATCGCAGATGATGGGCACGATAGCCAAAGAGACGCACCAGTAAATAAGTGAAGGCTATAAACCTGTCTCAGTTTAGTGATTTGTGTACGTGTGAGGGGGAAGAGAGTAAGGAAATTCAGTTTTCTAATCTGCTCATTTCCTGGCTCTTAGTGCTCTGTAACTTCCCAGCTGCCGGTTCCGTTCTTCCGCGGTTGCTGTCAGCGCATGCTGCTCCGTGCCCTGCAGTGGGACCGTGCCGCTGGGGGGCTGCGGGTTGCCCCTGCCCTACGGCAGCACGCTGGGGCACCCGGGGGCGGGCACAGCGCGGAGCCGGAGAGCCCGGGGCGCTGGAAGGAGCGTCGCCCGCTGGCTTCGGGATCCAGCTTCGGGCTTCCCATTAGAACAGCACCACAAATAGCAATCAATCATCATTCAAGAGCATCCATCTTCCTGACTTTTTTACGGCCTTATAATTGCCCCCTCCCTGACAGGAGGATTTATGCCCGGCCCGGTACGGGAAGCTCCGCTGCCCGCCTGGTACCGCCGGCTCCTGCGGGGGAACGTGGAGCGGCCGCAGCCGCAACCCCCCCCTTCCTCCCCTCCGCCGCCTTCTGCCGAACTGTCGTCTCCAGCAGCTCCCCGCGCTGTTCTCTCTGTTGCTCCAATCGGGCTGGGGCTTGCTGCCGGGCTCTCAGCTGCCTCCGGTCCCGGGACGAGGAGGGGGCCTAACTCCCATCACCTGAATTTTCCGTGCAAAAGTCACGGACCGTCCCGGCGCCGTTCGAAAGGGAAACGCTTTCCCTCTCTCTTCCTCTTTCCCTTTCCCCGCTTCCCAAGCAGGCTGCCTCCCGCGACTCCCGCTCCCCCAGCAGCATTCCCCGAGCCCCGGCCCCGTGCCCTTTTCTGGCCGAAGTTCGGCTGTTTGTCCCCCCCCGCGGGGCACGGCCGGGCCCCTCCGGCGGGCAGCGCCCGGGGGGAGGTGATGGCCTAGAAACCGCGCGGCGCTCAGCGGCGGTGCGGCTGTGCCGCTCCCCTCTCTCGCTGCCCGCGGCTCTCCCTCTCCTCCCGCGGCGGTCGCGGAGCAGCGGGAGAGCCCCGTGCCTCCCATGCGCGGCGCG